TTAAATCCCACTGGAACAAGTGGGTGTGAGACAGGCCTGCGTCTCTGTACACCTTTTAGAAAACGCTTCATCAGCGGATGATTAAAACCTGTTCTGTCTCAGAAACCTTCATGTCAGGAAGAGATGGCTGCAGCGTACGTTTTAAACGTGCTGGATGCAAATTTCTGTCCATCAGCTGCTGCAGAAAGAACAGCATGCCACCTAATGGACATGAGGTGGCCTCTACACCCTTCTCTGTACACCAGCACTGAAAAGCTGTCCACTTGGATGTGTACATCACTGTGGTAGATGCAACACGTGAAACCTGAATTGTGCGCATTACATCCTGTGGGCAACCCATCCTCTCTAAGTGGATTCGTTCAACGGCCAGACCCACAGGTGCTGGCCTATTTCTGGGTAACTCCTGGTCGCTCCTCCTGCCTGGAGGAGAGCGTCCTCCCTCTACGGCAGTTTCCACGGGCACTCCGACAGCAGGCGTTGCAGGGCTGGGAACCATGGTGCGCTCACGCGTTCGGGGCCACCAGGAGAGCTGTCAATCCCTCCTCCTGAGCTCGGTTCAAGAACAGTAAAATCAGAGGAGGTGGAGAAAAACGCGTACAGAAGCATTTTGGGCCATGGACTGTGGACAAACCCATCCACCCCAGCGGTGGTTCGTCTCGTGGGCTCAGAGAACGCATAATTGACACTGAGCGTTTCTCGTGTCACAAACAGGACCACAGCTGCTATATCAATCTGAGACAAAATGCTCCGTCAGAGGATGATTAAAGGTTGTTCTGTCTCCGACAACTTTGAGACAAGAAGAAAACACGGCTGCAGCATACGATAGTCGTGCTGGACACCAGATTTCTGTCCCTCGACTGCTGCAGAAAGGACAGCATGTCATCCAGTGGACATGAAGTGGCCTCTACGCCTTTCTCTGTACAGCAGCGTTGAAAAACTGACCACTTGATGTGAACAGCGCTCTGGTGGTTGCAGCATGTGACTCCTGAATCATATGCACTACATCTTGAGAGAGATCCATCCTCTCAAAAAGATCCGCACAGCGGCCAAACCACAGGTGCTGGCCTATTCTGATTAATTCCTGATCGTTCCTCCCGCCTGGAGGAGAGCGTCCTCCCTCCACGGCAGGTTCCACGAGCGCCCTGATAACAAATGTCGTAGGCCTGGGAACCATGATGTGTTCACGCACTTGGGGCAGAGGAGCTGCCAGTCCCTCCTCCTGAGCTCGGTTCAGAAAACCGTGATATCAGAGGGAGAGAAGAAGGTGAAAAGGCATTACGACCACAGGCTGTGAGCAGGCACGTCCACCCAGCGGTGGATCGTCCCGTGGCTTCACGATAATTATAATTGACATTGAGCATTCTCTCATGTTGCTACACGTCCACAGACACTGGCAGGATTTCTACCGTGTCTGAGCCATAGCTCTGGGTGGAATACATGAGATGTACCCACTCCAATGGAGAGCAGATTGGGTGTGCCCCACACAGCATCTGTCTCACAATGTGGCACATGGGTTGAAAAACGCATACATCTCCTTCCAGTATGTATGCAACAGTCACTTTCTGTCTGTGTGAATCAAAAACCCTGATGATTCTGCAGCTCAAGGTCAGTGTTGAGTCACATTCAAAGATCCCGTGCGACTCTCCAAAAACATTTAAAAGAGCTGCTATGTGGAGAGCCACAGTGGCCCCACAGCTTGTTAAATGTGTGTGACGTAGGTCTGTTGACGGAAAACAGCTGATATCACTCAACCGGTTCCCGTGAGTTGCACTGCTGCCACCTGTCTGTACAAGCTGCTCAGCAGCAACAGGTGTCCAGATAAAGCAGAATTAAAGCGGCTCGGGCGCATAATGGAGTGTTGTTTCTCACAGCTCAGAAATTGACAATCTAGAATAAATCTCATCTTTCCAGTTCATTGGGACCAGGAAGTGATGAGAGAGACCTTGCGTTTTCCTCTCCTTCTGAGACTCTAGAAATTACATTTAAAACAGAATTTCCTGAGCTTCTGCTAGAGGGGACGAGATCTGTTCATAAATGACAGAAAAAACGTCACAGAGTTCCTCCACACCGGGGTTTGAGCTGAACTGCAGCGTGAATCCCGGATGAAAACGGTTCACCCATCCGTCTGGAAGCGCGTGTTCATTGCCACCCGTTTATAAGCTATAAAGCGGGAACGCATTTATGCTGTGAAACTCGCATACATGCTAATGTGAGCTGGAGCGCGCTGAGTGAGAGAGAAAAAAAAACCACGCGCATTCCCGAGCATGCAAGACATTGTGTGTTGCTGATGCTGCGGGCAGAGCTCATCTGAGTTGTGCTCACGTTGTGTGCAGCTGCTCCGTGTAACGCTCGGTAAGCGGGTGCACGTATGAGCCGACGTGCCCTGAAGGGTCGTGTGTGTGCGTCCTCATTCATGCGACGCCTTAAGCCAGGATTGCCGCGGGGACGCGCGTTGGCACTGGAGCGGTCAGGAAGCAGCGCGCGGCATCGGTGGAGCGAGGTTACCACTGGCTCGGTCTGCAGAAACACGTTCATTGTTTGCTGCGAATCACGTGAGCTATTGAGTGATTCCACGAGCTGCAATATTAATTCAGAAAACCTTCTTCGAGGATGTATGAGCCGAGCCGCTGTGAGGCTTGTGGAGCTGCTGACGCCGCGGGAGCGCGCGTTGGCACTGGTGCGGTCAGGAAGCAGCGCGCGGCATCGGTGGAGCGAGGCTACAACTGACTCGGTCTGCAGAAACACGTTCATTCTTGGCTGCAAGTCACGTGAACTTCAGAGTGATTCCACGAGCTGCAGTATTAATTCAGAAAACCTTCTTCGAGGATGAAGGAGCAGAGCCGCTGTGAGGCTTGTGAAACTGCTGACGCCGCGGGAGCGCGCGTTTGACACCACTGCAATGAAAAAACATGTGTCGCTTCTGCCGAGCTCATACCGTGGTCTCACGTTAACGTTGACGTGAACGGCGGGCGCTGAGAGCTGCGTGCGCGCTTTCATTCTGCGGGAGCGCGTATCGGCACCGCTGACAGTGAATGAAAACAACCTTAAAAAGGCTCATTCGTGATGAGTGTGTGTGATGGGGCCGCTTGTCAGATAAACCATGCTGACAGCCTGGCTAAAGGACACTTCATCATAAAATGATGTTATTTCACAGTGTCAACACACCTCTAGCAACCCGACACCTGGTTACCTTCCGTTGAGCTCTGTTTGTTGTCCTGGAGGGCACCCTGTTGGCGAAGTCCGGGAAAAAAAAAAGAACTTCCGGATGCCGGGGATGTCTGACGGGAGGGGCTGGCGTAGCAGAGCTGGGGAGGCGTTGTGCAGCCTTGGAGCATCTTGAAATGATCTCTCGCTGATGAAAAGAGGACCTCCAACAAAGCTCCTGCAGCTCTCCTGAGAGGAAGGTGGAGTGACGAGCCAGGAGAACCTCTGGGACCTCGTTCTCTGGCTGCGATGCGGGGCAGCAGACAGCAAAAGAGGCGCACCGGTTGAGGATGATGTCAGCTGCCCTGTAGACGGAGCGTACTGCAGGGGCCGGCAGCGTCGTTAGCAAGCAGCCGCTACGAGAGCGGAGTGAGCCGAAGGACAAAGGGCCACAGTCTCTTCCCGCCTCTGAACGTGTATGCCAACAGCGTAACGTGTTGTTCGCTGCGGCCGTGTGGAACACATGCTGGTGAGCTCAGTTGGAGAGCGGTGTCACCGTCTCGGTTATGCTAACCGGAGGCACGGGACGCTGGTCCACCTCGACATCTTACTCCAATGAAGCCTCCATCAGGCTCGGCTCCAGGGGGCACGGAGGGACTTTCCGCTCAGTGAACCCCTACTCTGCAGATGGGTGCGGACTGTGGAGACCGGCTCCCCCAATCTACCAGGAAAAAAACCCGTCTGTGGCCTCGCCCGTAGGACGTCCTGTTGGGAACACGAGGCCATATGGATCAAGACAGTGAGCCGGAATGGAACCCAGTAAACAACCTTCCCGCCGGATCATCCGAACTGGCGGGAAAGGCGTAGGACGTAAAAAAGGGTCCCTTCATGTCAGCCGCCTCCTGGGTTACGCCGGGCAACCCCTGAGGGCGCCGTCGGCCGGGAGCGGTGTGATCGCCAATGCGAAACGAGGTGGGATGGGGTGAGCATTCACTCAGCCCCCCTCCACCGACACTACGCTCTCCAGGAGGGAATGAGCAGCGGGGGGCTGCAGCTGAGCGCCGCCTGTCCCGGAGGAACCATCCGATTTGCTCCGAGGGTCGGCGATAAGAGGAAAATTACAAGATGGCGTTGTCCAGCGTGTAGTGACTTGTCACTGAGAAATACTCCTCGGCGCTTACCTTGAAATAAGACTGCTCGTCAGCTTCTCCTTGGGGAGGAGAACTCACCGGACGACCGGAGGTCGACTGCCGGGCCAAGCATCCTTAACAAAGGTTGGTCATCTACACAATTTTCCTTCTTTGTTCTTCTGACAGTGCTATTAGCTCGCTGAAGAAAAAATGGGAGCCGATTTCCCGCTCTTAACGTAATTTATACGGACCGGGTGGGGCCCACACAGCAGGTGGGCGTGGACTAAATTTTTCAGTGCAAATGCTACGCATAACGGGATAAACCCACTAAGCAACAGCCTTAAAGGGCGAAGCCTATACGAAATAGAACTGATTGAAGCAAACATACAAATGAAAAGAGACGCAACAGATTCACGTTTTCGTCTGCATAAAGCTTTGCTGCAAGTTCTGCATCGTGTCCCAAAATAATACACTATTTTAGTCATTCTAATGATGAATTATGTTCAACAAAGTTTAAAATAGTCTAACTCCGTTCTGAGCTGCAGTCTGCAGAGCCACACCAGGCTGTAGTTTTCCTGTTGTTGTGCTAACTCTACGTGAGTAACAATGCTGATCTTAGTGATGTGAATAGGGTCAGTAGTCTTGTTTCGGCAGGTGTATTATTGTTTAATAAATGTATTTTTACATGCCTGGTTTGATTTCAGACGTTTTTATTTCTGTCCTCAGTGTCGAGAGCACAGCTCTGCGGCTGATCACAGCGTTGGGCAGTTCAGAGGTACAACCTCAGTTCACTCGCTTCCTCAGTGACCCAAAGACAGTTCTGTCAGCTGAATCTGAGGAGCTGAACCGAGCCTTGATCCTGACCCTGGCCAGAGCCACACATGTTACTGGTAACTCTCAGCCTGGATCATTGTTTTTTTTTTCTGTGAGATCAGATTACTGATTGATTTTGTTAATTTCATTTAGAGTATTGTTTTATTTGTTAGTTGTTTTTTGTTTATTCTAAAATTATTTTCATCTTTACCACTGTTTTTCATGCAGGATAGTCACTCTTTTTTTTTCTGTAGATTTTTTCACAGGGTCTGACTCCATCCATGGCACCTGGTGTAAGGACATCCTCCAGACCATCATGAACCTTACACCTCACAACTGGGCCTCACACACACTGTCCTGCTTCCCTGCTCCTTTGCAGGTGCAAACCTGTTAGCTCCTGCATACGTAAAGGGAAATAAATGACTCAAACACTTTATTCTTATGTAATAACTTAACACCTGCGTGTTTGCTCCAGGCATTTTTCAAGCAGAACAACGTTCCTCGGAAGTCTCGTTTCAACCCGATGAAGGATGTAGAAGAGGAGTACAGGAAGTGGAAGTCGATGGCCAATGAGAATGACATCATCACCCACTTCTCCATGCAGAGCTCTCCTCCCCTTTTCCTATGTTTCCTGTGGAAGATGCTGCTGGAGACCGACCACATAAACCAGATCGGCTTTAGGTCTGCAGCGGCTGTTTTGTATTTCTAAATTAAAACTCTTTCTGTTAAACTTTAATCTTAGTGAGAAATAACAGACTACTGAAAATCAGTTATTTATATTAGAAAATAGCAGGTATTTTAAATCACATCACTTGTTCTGGTTTTTAGCTTACCACACTGCTTTAATCCTCATAAATCATCTCAATGATATCAATGATGTATCTCACCAATGCTTTGGGGACTTTTTACATCCATTTGGCTCAATTAGAAATCTTTAAAGTTCCTCCATCATTAGTTACTTATTACTTACTATTAGTTAGTTCATCCTGTTGGATCTTGTTGTTCTAATCTGAATTGTTTCAATAAGTTGTTTTTTTCTCTCAACATCAGGGTCTTGGAGCGAATTGGAGCTCGTGCATTGGTGGCTCATGTCCGCACCTTCGCTGACTTCCTCGTCTACGAGTTTTCAACTTCAGCTGCCAGACAGCAGCTCGATAAGTGCGTTGAAATACTCAACGACATGGTCTGGAAATACAACATAGTCACACTGGACAGGCTCATTTTGTGTTTGGTGAGGTCATAACGGAAAAATATAAGTTTTTTGGGGATCAACACAGTCTTTACACTTCTTCTTTTCCACGGCCAGGCGATGCGTAGCCATGAAGGAAACGAGGCTCAGTTTTGCTACGTCATAATTCAGCTGCTTTTGTTGAAGACTAAAAACTTTAGGAACCAAGTCAATGATTTTGTGAAAGAGAACGCCCCTGAGCACTGGCTGCAGAGTGACTGGCACAACAAGCACATAAGCTACCACAAGGTATATGTAAAACCAACAATCCATGTATTGAGTCATGTCATTCTTTGAATAGATTAAACAGAAAGCATAATGTGAAAGCAGACCAGATTTAAATAACATGTTTTTGTTTTTTTCATCAGAAATACCCAGAGAAATTGTACTTTGAGGGTCTTGCAGAGCAAGTCAACCCTCCCATGCAGCTTCAACAACAGTACCTGCCAATCTACTTTGACAATATGTGTCTGCGCTTCCTGCCTGTCTTTGATATCGTTATCCACCGCTTCCTGGAGTTTCTTCCTGTCTCCAAATATCTGGAAAGGCTGCTGGACCATCTGGGAGGACTGTACAAGTTCCACGGTGGGTGTA